TGAGTGAGGGTTAGTGTGTAATGAGACTTATATCGCGTGAAGAATATGTATTTGGTCGAGCATATCAGATCTCCCTTTGCTTCGAGAAAAGCGACTATGTTCCTTTGTGCGAGCAGTGGCACCCTGGCTACTGGAAAGGTTACAAGCTGGACATGCACATGAGTTATTTGTCATGGTGATTTCCAAGGAAGGCATATAACCGTGAATAAAATCCCATAAAAAGGATTTGCTAATCTCTTCTTCACATACAGCTCCAGCCGATGTTCAGTGCAGCGGCGTAGCACCGGACCCGAGGGCAGGACCTTGGAGCTAATAGGGGGGGGAGGTGGGGATAGGGGTGAGGGGAGGATCTGGGGTGAAATACCCGTTTCTCTGCCTGGCTATCGCAGTGGGTGGGTGGGTGGGGGGGACGCTACCCGTACGCCCGGACATCTGTAGAGGGCGAGACCTTAGCGTCTTCCATCAACATAGGGATTTCTGTCTACGGTTCCATTTCTACGATTGTCCTGGAAAATGATCTTACTCCTCCATTCTTATCTTTCTAACGGATATTTCTATTGTCTTTTAGGTCATCGAGTATTTGACATTCAGAGGTGGGCATTTATATGCAGGCAATGTAGCATCCCGCAAATATCTGCTTGTTTATGCGCGCGCGCGGGCGTGTGCGTGTGTTGTCGTGCCTGCCATCCCACGCATGTGAAAATCCACCAGGTCACCATGTTTTGTAGTTGACCATTAACTGGTCTTTATATATGAATATATCTATCTATCTATCTATATATACATACATATACAGATACAAAAATATTTATATATATATGTATGTATGCATGTACGTACACACGTGTATGTTTATAAATATTTATAAATCTTAGTCAGATACTTCCATCCTCAGTTTGCAGAGAGTAGCAGTTGCGTTTGCATTTCTCTCTTACTGTTTCCAGGTAACCCGTTGCTTTCAAGTTGGTGGCTGGGAGTGGCTGTCGTCTTGCGAAATAACTTTCCAGCCGTTGGTTTGCTGCTCTGCCACTAGAGTTTCCATTTGTCACTGATAATGAATTATGAGATTTCTAAAAGGTGTGTGATGAGTCGCATTGAGTTATTCTGGCAGGATGTCGCTTCACAAGGTCCTTGACCTTATATGTATGAGATGTTTTTATGATTTTTTTTCGGGTGGTAGCTTACCATCGAAGTTATGGTGGTGTTTTTGCATTCACTTCATGGAAGCAAAATATTATTCATGGGTATCTATAATATATTCATGCCTATTTGATCTGTATACACTCTTTAAAACAAAAGTATTCATTTCACTGAGTCACGTGTTCAGACTGTACCACTTCCACCAGAAAGTTTATTTCAGCAAAGCGCTCCATGATTTTCGTTCTAGCGATACTGTTCCGTCACTTTACACGTTATATTTCAGTTTAGTATGTCACTTGGGCGTAGTTTCGATTGGAGTTCGTCTATATTCATCGTCATTGTAGATCTAACAGGGTTTCTTATTGAAACGGGATAGGGTAAAGACTGTTTTATAGGTGTTCAGTTATAGGTATCTCCTATTATCAGTCAAGTAGGTATGTAATATGTCTAAATCTCGTGTCAATATATTTTTTAAAACTTTAAATTGTCCTTGGTTGATTGGGATGTTTTACTGTTGTGGATGAAAAAGAGATGGTGCCAGAATATATCTTTAGGGACTCCATTTTTGAGTATGTTTCACCTTAGTCTCTGATTCTAGCTGTAATGGATAGAGAGGTATACAGTTTTATTATATAAGATTAGCTTGGTTCTTTTGCATAGGTCTGGGGTTTGCTTTACCAAACAGGTGTACACGACTAAAGCATCAATGAAACAAGCACTTTTTCTCCTGTTTCAGTTTAAAAAGCTACCATTATCTTAAGATAGTTTACTGTTTTGGCATAAAGAAATATGCCAGGAAATAGTTATCATATTTTATGGGAGACTGAATTTTACAGCTGAGAAGATGCATTGGTCTATAGTGAAGTGAGTCGACTTCATGAATTTGTTATAAAAGTTGTTCTATAATTTTTTTTTCTTTATTAGATTTAGTTCGAATTTTACGTTTTCGTGTGCCTTTTCACTTTTTAAAAAGTGATTGGTTTTGCGAAGTTCTCTTCATTCTAATCCTCAAATTTGATTCGGATTTATGAAGAGTAGATTCCTCTAAAATTACAGTAGTGATTAATGATAAAATATATTGGGATAATGACTAAATGGTGACTCAAGCTCTGAACTAAAGTTAATTCTCTTCGGTCTTTTGATCTTGTGTGATCTTGTATTTAAGAGACAGTTCAGTAGTTACTAGTTAATAACACATATTAATATTTTCTTTTATTATTCTGCTTGTGTCCACCAAGGAATATATATATTGCATATTCTTTGATGATAGATTTATATAATGGTTCTGCTGTCTTAGTGAATATTGTCAAGGCTAATATTGTTAAATGGTCCAAGATATGAATATAAGATTTGCTATAGA